GAAATAGAATTGCTGCAAATGCTATTAGTTAAACTGAGGTTGAATTGGAGGAGAGTGGGCCTCTCATCTAACAGGTCTGGTGTCTTCATAAAATGGTCAGATTTGAATACAGATACACATGCAGGAAGATTGTCATCTGCCATGAGAGCAGAGACCAAAGCCATGTGTCAGCATCCCACCACTTAGCAGTGGCCTGGCAGGATTTCAGGTCCCGATGGCATCAGCTTCAGCTGTGACCACCAAGTGTAGGTTTTAACTAAGTCTCTATCATTCTATTTACAAATAAAGACTCAGGAGTCAGATTTTGGTGTGAAAACTCGCTAAATTAGAGAAGCCAAGAAGTAGCCAGCTAACTGTGGTGATATATTATTTATGATTTAATAATGTTTGACTGAGGGTTCAGGACGCAAAGCCAGCCACAAGCCATAGAGGTCCAGCAATGGTGACACACATCTTTAATCCCAGCAGCCATACTCCATAGCCATAGAGCCAGGCAGTGGTGACACACATACTTAATCCCAAGGACTCAAGAGACAAGCAGACTGATCTCTATTAGTTCAAGGCCACACTGAGCTACAAGACATTGATCCAGTCTGAAAGAGAAACAGCTCACACAAAGGTTATCTCAGCCTTAGGGTCCCACATCTCAAATCCCAGGATTTGAGAGGTATAAAAGGAAGAAGCAAGGGGCGTCACGAGGCAATTAGTCTCCAGCCTCATTGAGGAGAACACAGCAGTCTAGGACTGCAGTCTGAGGATTTGTGGAGCTAGCTGGATTATCCTTTCAGTCTGAGGTAGAGGTAAGAGCTAGTGGCCGGCTGCTTTGCTTCTTCAATCCTCAGCTTGAAGCTTGAACCCCAATATCTGTCTCTGTGTTTTTATTATTTGTGTTACAGCTGACTTTCCTTTTTGGCTGGAGACCTAGCAAGAAAAGTGTCTCTCCTCTCATCCCAAACCAAAAAGACCACGAATCCCTAAGTCACTCCCTACTCCTTCTGGTGTGTCTCTTGGGGCCTCTGTACTCTATACGGCTAATTCATGTCAACTAGTCACTGGCTCTGCCCCCTGATCTAAGGTTTATTTTATTTTAAAGATTTATTTATTTATTATGTATACAATGTCTGCATGTGTGTGCGCAGGCCAGAAGAGGGCACCAGATCTCACTGTAGATGGTTGTGAGTCTTATGTGGTTGCTGGGAATTGAACTCAGGACCTCTGGAATAATAGTGAGTGCTCTTCACCTCTGAGCCATCTCTCCAGCCCTAAGGTTAATTTTATTAACTGTCTCAGAGTTTCAAGTGCAATCAAACATCCCGCAACAGGACGGGCATGCTCACATGGTGATCAGGAAACAGTTTTCAAAAGTTAGTTCTTGTTCCACCTCAAGGGGCCAGTTCCAGGGATCAAACACCAGCCTACTTTAGACTCATTATGTATCTGAAGAGGACCTTGAACTCCTGATCCTCTTGCTTCTATCTCCTAGGCACTAGGGCTCTGCTAGCAGGTAGACATTGGTTTGGTTCATCTTGGGGTTATTTGCTTCTGACTACCATGAACCACACTGCCACAAGCTTTGTGCACTTGTCTTTGAACGGATGCGTTTTTGATCCTCTTGGGTGACATCAAGGTCATTACTAGTCACATGTAGCTGTATTTAACCTTTGATACAACTGTGCATTTTCTAAACTGGCCACTTGATATTACTAAAATGTTAGAGGTCCTTTAGTCATGAGCCTATTACCTCCGCCTCTTGGCCTATCATTAAGCACAGAGGTAGCCCCACTAACAAATACCACTCATAGCTTTGCTGTGTGTGCTTGGCTCCATGCTGTTTCTCACCTGTGGGCCATTTTTTTTTTTTTTTTTCTTTTAATATCATTTGCCTGAAAAGCCAGTTACCCTCCACTCCTTTAATATTCCTTTAAGATAACTTAGTGGTTGCCTCCTTCAGGAAGCCTTCCTTGTTCCCTTTCCTTCTCCCCCAGGGTGGGGTGGAGATGCCCCCTGCTGCATCTATATACTAATTTCCTGCTGAGTTCCTAGGACTGGACCTTAACAAGATCTGCTACTGTCTTCAACAATTACCTTTTTTAGGCTGAGGATATACCTCAGTGGTAGGACAAGCGCCTAACACGTGTGTAGTGAGATAGTCCTCGGCCTATTTGTTTATCCTGATCCTTATTTACCGCAATACACGTGTGTTAGGTTAAGCCCTAGATTTAACCCACAGTAACTCTTGTCCTGTAGACACACACACACACACACACTTCTGACTCCTCAAAAAACAAACAGAAAAACCTTCTCATGCAACTCTACTTTTCCTATGGAATTACCATATTCTACTGTGTATTTCGTTTACACAGTTTGCAGGCAGATTGTTCTGCCTTTGTCATTTGTGTGCCTCCAAGATCCTTACACACAATGATTCAGTGTTTATTGAGGGAAATACTACATACTGTTCTGAACCAGAAACAATACAGCTCTGTGATTGAAAATGAGACCTTTTGTATCTTACAGCAGGAAGAATTTTACACAGGCTGGTAGAGTTGAACTGTTAATTCCCTCTCCACTAGCAATCATTGATTCTATTAAAACATTTTCTTCTTCTTTTTTTTAAAAGATATGTTTTCACTGTGTAGCCCTGACTGAACTGGAACTTAATGCATAGACCAGGCCGGCCTCAGACAGATCTGCCTGCCTCTTCCTCCTAAATGCAGGGATCAGAGGTGTTTGCTACCAAGACAGTTGACACCTTGACTTCTTAGTCTCATTTGTCAAGCCTTGTCACTTCCATTTTTTCTCTTTGGGATCAAGTGTTTAAGTAAACAAGCCCAAGAGAGACTGAATAATAAAAACTCAGGCAAGAAGAGCCTCAGCTGAGGCTGGAGAAATGGCTCAGACGTTAAGAGCACTAACTGTTCTTGCAGTGGCCCAGTGTGGTTCTCAAAAAAGCTTCAGGTACCAACTGACTCAGTAAACATGGGTAAAGATGTCTTAGACATGCTAGCTCTAGGGAAGTTCTCTGCTGAATATATGGCCTCATGACAACAAAACAGAACTAACTAGCTGAACAAGAAAACCCAGAGAAAATGAATTAATGTTTTCAGTCATCACATTTCAGAATGGACTGCTGTGCAATAAAAGTTCATTGGCACAAGACTTAATAATTTATATAAGATAATAACCCTAAACCAGGCTGTGGTGGCGCATGCTTTTAATCTCAGCATTCTGGAAGCAAAAGCAAGCAGATCCCTGTGAGTTCCAGGCCAGCCTGGTCTACAGAGCTAGTTCCAGGACAGAATAGCCTGAGCTACCCAGAGAAATCGATCTCCAAAAACAAACAAAAAAGTTCTAGCCAGCCTGAGCCTGAATTAGACATTGTCATCTTAAATACATACATACATATATGTATATATACATATGTGTCTTTTATTAATTTACATGTTTTGCTTGCATGTATGTCTGCTCACCATGTGCATGCCTGGTCTCTGCAGAGTCCAGGAACTGGAGCCAGACAGCTATAGGTCCTCTGGAAGATGGCTCTTAACTGTTAAGCTATCTCTTCTACACCCAGACTCTGTCCCAAACCCAATAAAACAACAAAAAATAGCTTGCATGAAAGGAATGTATGCAAGAAAAATTCTCTGATCCAGGAGGTGGTGATTCATACCTTGAATCTCAGCACTTGGGAGGTAGTGGAAGATAGAGCCACACAGAGAAGCCCTGTCTTGAAAAACCTAAAAAAACAATCCCTGGATTACCTTTTTGTAATTTCCAGACTTCTCATTGGATTTTTATTTTAAAAAAAAAAAAATCATATTGACTGGTCATGGTGCCCCAAGTCTTAAATCCCAGCACTAAGAAGGCAGAGGCAGGCAGATCTCTGTGAGTTTAAGGCTAGCCTGGTCTACACAGTGAGTTCCAGGACAGCCAGGATTCTGTAGAGATCCTACCTCAACAAAATTAAAATGTCATAGTGAATTTTTTACACTTAATATATACTAACAAAAACAAAATCCAGGCAGAAGGTATGGTTCACTGTGGAACAAGTACATGGTATATTCAAGATCCCAGCACTATCACACACATGTCTCTAAAAGAAGACAACTCATGCTTCCAAGTGTTTTACTTTCATCTGCACACCTCTCTCATAATCCTGATGCTTACAAATATATTAAAATATCTTTATTAAATGCCCCTCCAAAAAAGCATGGTAGCACATACCTGTAACCCCAGCATTGGGAGGTAGAGACAGGAGGACCTAGAATGCAAGAATAGCCTAAGCTACACAGTAAGTTCCAGGCCAACCTAAGCAATATGAGACCTTATACCCAGAAAACAAATTCAAACGGAAACCATATATGGAAGTACAAGATTCATTTCACATCTACTGATGAGTTTTGCAGCGTGGCATGAGGCTTCTGATAGTAATTCAGGCTCACATGCCTTGTGTGTTCTCACATGGCACTTGATATCCATTAAAAAGGCGAGAAAGGCCAGGTGTGGTGGCACACACAGCTATCTCAGCACTCAGAGGCAGAGGCAGGAGGAACTGGTGGGCGGGAGAGAAACGTCCATTTACAAGAGGGCAGCCCGGTATATACAGTGAGTTCCAGGCCAGAATTAGTGAAACCCTGTCCCCACACAAAAACCTTGTTTTTCAGGGAGGAGGAACTAGTGCTTGCCTGGAACATGGGAAATCCTGGTGTGGTCTCTAACATTCCATAAAACTGGATGTGGTTCAAGGTTATCCTCTGAAACACTTTCCACTCAGACAAGTTACCCTAACTTAATGAGAGCAGCGCAAAAGTGTAATTTCACTTTCGCATTTCATTTTGGGGTGGCGGAATCTCTAATTGTTGTACTTCTAAAGAGCAAAAGTATAAATGAACTGTAAATAAGTAAGGTGCTCATAGAAGACCATACAACTTAGGCAGGAGACAGACTTCAGGCTACACGAATGAGTAGAAGTGGCATGTGAGGGACACACTGTGCATATCACATTCCAAAAAGGCTCACTTTATTACACTGAGCTCTCTCCTCAAAGGGATAAGTCCTGTTCCCCTTCCCCAGGGCAACAAGTGTGTCTCTTCCGGAGTCCCCAGTTCTCTGTCCTAGCGGTACTTCCCATGCCTGTTAAAGTGTTTGTAGAGATAGTTGATCCGTTTGTTAAGGTTGTGCAGGTCCTCGGTGAACATTCTGCTTCCAACCATTTTCTTCTTTCGGATACAACGCTGTAATTCATTTCCTCTCCAGCCTCGAAGCCATACTGGGCCCTTGATTAGTTCTTTCGGGTGCTTTTCGAAATTCCCTGTAAAGTGAGGAGAGAACATGTTAGCTTCAAGAGAGGAGAAGGCAGCCTAGGCTAGCTTAGCCTTCAACTCACAGTTTCATCTCCCCGAACAGAACTCACAGACAAGGCACACGTGTGTAATAGTAAAAAGCAGTGTCTCTGGGGCTAAAGATATGGCTCAGCAGTTAAGAACACTTGTTCTTGGGAAAGAAAACTCGTCCCAGCACTCACACTTAGAGGTTCACAACTGTCTGCAAGGCCAGTTCTGGGGAGCCTGACACCCCGTACCTGCAGGCCTTACTTGAAGAACACACAGTACACATACAGTAAAACAGGCAAACACTTACAAATCTTAACAAGAACAACAAAAAAATAATAAAGGAATCAAGACTGTTTCCAGAATGTTTGGGGTTTAAATACTGACACTACCAATCCTAGCTCTGGGCACTCAGAACAGCACACAACCAACGGTATCAGTAAGACTGGACACCATACTATTCTCGGTAACTCAGCCTGGTGTTGCCTGCCTTAGGCTCCAGCTTGTGCCACAAGGCTGCACGTTGCTATTCTCTCTCTCTCTCCCTCAGCACACTGCTATTCTCTACGCAAACAAAAACAAAACAGTCAATAGAGCACAACAGTCCTTCCGAAATCGGAATCAAGTCCTACCCAGGATCCCGATGTTGTCATATACACCAAACAGAGCCCTCTTCTCGTTCCAGCGATCGACCTCTCTGGGGGGTGGGAGGGTAAGTCTTACACGGGCCAGCAGTGAAACACCTAGGAGCGGAACGGGGAAAGAATGAGTCGGCGCTGCCTGCTAACCAGCTGTTCGCGGGTCGTTTCACCTACACATTAGCCACTTACCCTGAGAGAAGCTTCTGCACGCCAAGGGCATCAAGCCCCATAGCCTCCTACTTGCCACCCAAGGGAGACTCCCTGCCATTACTCTAGCGCCTGTCCACCTCAACAGGGCACCAAACCAGCCAGGGAAATGGGGGCCAGGCGTGGACTTCAAAGACTAGACAAAGGACATTTGTCTCAGTCGGCTCTCACACGGGCCTGACAGCAAGGGAAGCCATCTTGGGCCTTTACCCAGACAGCTTTGGGAGCGGACCCGCCTTGGCGCGCACAGGCCTCCGCCACGAGCCCCGCCCTCCAAGTTCCGGCCTAGCCAGCGCGCCCAGCCGAGGCACTTCCGGCTTATGCGCTGGAATTTTCTTTTTTACTGCTGCAGCACGTTTCTCGTCGCAGAGCAGGACGCCCTCAAACAGAAACTCCGTACAAGTGAACCCTCTCCTGTTCCCGTAGGCGTCCCCAACTGTGCGGGGAATGGAGGGTAGGAGGCCGGAGCTCGCGGGGCGCGGTGGCTGGCAGGGCGCCACCGCTCCAGGGCAGGTCGCCGTGGAGATCGCCGAGAAAGCCGAGCCCCTGGGCCACGCCCCCGTCTGCTTGCCCCGCCTCCCGTGCCGTGATTGGTCGGCCTCTCCAGGCGCGTCACGATTGGCCTCCCGGCAGCCGTTGAGGTTTGAACTCGGAGTTGCGGGCTCTGCGAGCGCTACGCCTAACTCGGAGGCGGGTTTCCGTCTCAGCCCGCTGAGCATTGGCTGCTTTCTTCGCCTGCTTGAAAGCGATCTCGCTCTTTGGCGCGTTTTGTGCTCTGGTGTTTTCTTCTTTCCTTTTCTGTCGGCCGATCCCAGTCGAAGAAGCGGCGGGTGAGCGGTGTCCAGGTGAGGTGTGGCAGGGTTAGGAAGCGGGAAGTGAAAGGCTGAGAAAATCAGGTCCGGGACATGGTGCAGCCTTTGCCAGTGTGTAGTCGGCAGCGATGTCTGGTACGGATGTCCTTGAAATCTAATGTGGCAGTGAGTCTGACAGATCAGAAACGGAACGTGTGGAACGGGCAAGTCGCATAACCTTGCTACCCAATCTGTAAATTTGTTTCGTTATACACTCCTTGAGACCGAGATTAGGAGACTGCAGAGTCAAGCATGGGATGATGAGTAAGTAGTTGTTTTAATGTTCATTCATCCTGCGTCCAGGAACCGTGATGCTGATGAGGCGTTCTCTAAGGATCTTCTCGCTTTAAAATGGAAACAAGAAAGCTGTTTGTAGACACTGATTTGTCTCTTAACAGTTCATTAATATTTAATTGTTTTGTTTTGTTGAGATAGCCCTTAGCAGCCTCATACTCACTGCAGCCCCTGCTGGCCTCAAACTCAGCGCTCCTCCTGCCTCAGTCAAGTGTTGGATTTATAGGCATGTACCACCACATCCGGCTCTCTACGAATATTTTAATCCTTGATTAATTTGATCCCCAAAATAACATCAGTTTAAAGATGAGACCCTGAGGACTCAATGACCTAGTGACAGAATAATAACAAGAATTAGATTCTCGTCTTAGGGTTGCTCTTATATGAGGGGAAGAAGGTCTTATGTAGCCTAAACCATGTAGCAGACGCTGGCCTTGAATTGGGACTATAACTGTATGTTACTCTGGCTCTGATCTTATATCTTACAAGATAATGTTAGTAGCTGCTTGTAAGACTGGAAAACATCATATATTGAAAGTGAGGGAAATAATTGAACCTGGTAATTTCTAAGGCTGGGGTTATAGCTCAGTAGTAAAGTACCTGTCTAGCATACCAGAGATGCTGGGTTTAATTCCCAGTATTACCACCACCAAAAGAAGGAGAAAGAAAGAAATGATCTTGCCACATATTAAAAAGTAAATTCTTAGATTTAGACCAGTGGTTCTCAACCTTCCTAATGCTGTATTGAATGCCCCTTTTTTTGTTTGTTTTTGTTTTTTGAGATAGGGTTTCTCTGTAGCTTTGGAGCCTGTCCTGGAACTCACTCTAGACCTGGCTGGCTTTGAACTCAAAATCTGTCTGCCTCTGCCTCCTGAGTGCTGGGATCAAAGGCATGCACCACCACTGCCGGATTTAAATGCCCTTTAATATAGTTCTTCATGTTGTTGTGGCTCCCAATCATAACTATGATTTTGCTACTGTTATAAATCATAATTTTTTATGGTCTAAGGAGACTCCGGTGAAAGGGTTGAGATATGCAGGTTGAGAACTTCTGGCTTAAACTGACTTTTGCTGTTTGGCTTCTAAGGCCTGTGAACCAGTGGGAGAAGGATGTCTCCCCAAAACTTTGAATTCCATCTGCCATTATCTCCAGAGGAGTTGCTGAAAAGTGGAGGTGTGAATCAGTATGTTGTTCAAGAGGTATTGCCCATCAAGCATCTTTCATCCCAGCTTAGAGGTAAGACTCTGTGGCTACCAGTGAACGTCAATAGACAAACATCCTGTATGTAATCATGTTATTTCTGTTCTGCAGTACTGTCTCTATCCAGACAGAGAATATCTTTACTATTCCTTTTTTTTTTTTTTAATTGTAGCAGTGCATGGAATTCATGACACAAAATGTACTAGACTATCCTCCCTGGGTTATTCAAGAAACAGTCTTGCTTAACCTAGTTACACTAGTGGTTTATATTTTTATTCCTTATTATGAACCAATGTAAAATCCTGGTAAAATTAAGAATTGTACGTTAAGGGCTGGAGAGAGATGGCTTAGAGGTTAAGAGTACCAACTGCTCTTCTAGAAAACCCAGATTTGATTCCCAGTACCCACATGGCAGTTGACAACTGACTGTAACTTGTTCCTGTAGTACACAGAAACATACATACATACATACATACATACATAGAAGCAAAATGCCAGTCTGTATATAATAAATGAGCAAAGTTTAAAGGGGTTGTAGGCAGTGATAGTGCTTGACTTGCCTTTTCCTAGAGAACACTCTTGAATCTAGATCATGTTTCCAAGAAGTACAATAGAGAAACAACATAGGGAATATTCACTTGTCACTTAGCAGATGGAATGCGGGAGGCACGTTTTGAGAAGCCTGTTGCTAGATGATTCATTATTATGAAACATCACCATAGAGTATACATGCGCAAGCTTTTACAGTACAACCTACTCTGCTCTACTTGCCTAGTGTACACAGAGTCCTTGGTTTAATCCCTACCACCATATAAAACCTGGTGTAGTGCATACCTGTAATCCCAGCTCTTGGAGGCTAAAACAGGAGGGTTCCTGGAAGTTCAAGACCAGACTGAACTACAGAGTAAGACTTTGTCTCCAAAACAAAGATCAAAACCACAAGAAAAAAATGTCAGGGGCTGGAGAGATGGCTCAGAGGTTAAGAGCACTGACTGCTCTTCCAAAGGTCCTGAGTTCAATCACACCAACCACATGATGGCTCACAACCATCCGTAATGAGATCTGGTGCCCTCTTCTGGCCTCTGGCCTGCAGGCATACTTGCACTCAGAACACTGTGTACATAATAAATAAATAAATAAATCTTTAAAAAAGAAGAAGAAATATGTAGCATAAGTTGGTTGAAGGAAGAAGACACTCCAAGATAAGATGTGGCAGCAGGAAGGTCCGACCTCTCTGATGGGCTAAATCCTGAGCAGCCATACAAAGGCATATTTATTTATTGTTACACAAAGTATTTCCTCATACCAAGGTCCCTAATCTAATTTGCATGTCTTATTAAAGGACAGCATCACGTGCTCCCATGACTCTAGTCCTTTATTATATTATGTATTGCTTGTAGTACACAGTAATACAAAAGCCTCAGGTGTGCCTGAGTGTCTTGTGACCAAAGTCATGGGATGGCTGCAGTGCCCCTTCAGCAAACAATCACTGTTTTCCACAAGGATTCTTCAAGGTCATAGTACTTATAAAAAAAAAAAAAAAAAAAAAAAAACAGCTGTTCATTCTAATGTCAATCCTGGATACGGTGACTCTGATAAATTCCTACAAAAAAAAAAAAAAAAAAAGACACAAGCTGTATGAGGCTGCTGTTAGAGTAACACATTACCATTTTATAGTAAATTTATAAGTAGAAATATACCCTAAATAACAGTTATAACAATTACATAGCTAAGAACATAGTCCTTTATTACCAAGAATTATATACTGTTCATAACTGTCTGTGCCATACTTTAATAGAATTTGAAGTACAGAGTCAATGTGTTTGCACCACAAACCTTAGAGATACATAGTGTAAATGTAACAATTGCTACAACATCACTAGGCAAAAGTAAGTTTTCAGTTCCATTGTAATGGAGTAGGAATACCATATACGTGGCTCTTCTTTGACAGTGTGGCCTGAAGTCTATGAAAGACTAAAAACAACTTGTATATTGTCAGTAAGACCCCACAATGCCTCTGTACTTCTCGGGATTGGTTGCTTAGAGAAGTACATATAGACTGAAGCTGCTAGAACCAGACTGCTTGGGTTTGACTCCTCTGCTGCTCTTATCCGGAACAAATTCCTTTTTCATATGTCTTGGTTTTCTCTTCTAGAAAGACAAGAAAAACAATAGCCTAGTTCATGTAATCATTGATAGTAGCAGGGTTGCTTAGTGACCCCAGCTTCTCTCCTATTGGAGAGGGAAGCTCCTTGCTGTGAAATTCAGAAATGGGAAAAGGCGTTCCTGTCTTGTGCTTTTTCTTTTTTGAGACAAGGATTCCCATAACCCAAACCATAACTATAACCAGTCTCAAATTGAATATGTAACTGAGGATGACTTTGAACTCCTGGTCTTGCTGCCCCTCCTTCTCATCTGCTGGGTTGGTTTCTCTTTTTTTTTTTTTTTTAGGACTGGGGATTGAACCAAGGCCTTGCACTGCCAGATGAGTACTTTACCAAGCTGCGTCACAAGCCTCCCTTTTTATTTTGACATGGTCTTGCTGAGTTGCCCGGGCTAGCCTTGAATTCACTTTGTAACCCAGTGAGGCTCTTGAGTTTTCTGTCCTCCTGCCTCAGCCTCCCTAGTGACTGAGGCTACTGGCCAGGAGCAACAGTGAATCTATCCAGTGCTTAAAGCTTGGATTTTATAAGCTTTAAGCTTATATGTTCTCCCATAAAATGAGCCAGGACTCCACCAAGAATTGTGGATTCCAGCTGGGTGGTGGTGGCACATGCAATTGGGAGGCCGAGGCAGGTGGATGTCTGAGTTCAAGGTCAACCTGGTCTACAGAGTGAGTTCCCAGACAGCTAGGGCTACACAGAGAAACCCTGTCTCGAAGGGGAAAAAAAAAATAGTAACCCTGCACTATCTTGTGGTATGAGGAAATAAGAAAGTGCTCACTTTAGCAGCACATGTACCAAAGTTGGAATGAGACAGAAAGAAACATGGCCAGTGAGACATGTTTCACTGACAAAAATGTGGTGAATATAACTAAGTACATGATATTTGTGTGTGGAAATGTAGTGAGCCAGGTGTGGTGCACACCTTTAATCCCAGCGCTTGGAGAGGCAGAGGCAGGCGGACCTCTGGGTTTGAGGCCAGCCTGGCGGACATTGTGAGGCCTTAGCACCCCCACAAGAAGAGAATGTAACAAAACCCTCTGTGGACAATGGGGATATGTACCCATAGGAGTTAGGGTAGGAGCAGAAGTACAGGTCTTCCCAGAGCACGGGGCTATGGTGAAGGAGGCCAGGACCAAGCTTGTGGGATTTGATCAAGAGGATGGATGTGCTAGACCCAAAGTAAAGGGAGGTCTACGGGGTCTATTCACTCAAAAGGGAAAGAGACAGCCTATCTTTTGTGGGAGGGCAGAGCAACCTAAGGGGCATTTAGGGTCTTATATATGATTACCCCAGCTCTCCTCCCTTTCCTTCCTGCCTTCTTCCCACCCTTCCTTCCTCCCTTACCTTCCCCCTTCCCTCCCTCCCTCTTTCCTTTCCTTCCTTTATTTTTGGTCACTGTGTAACCTTGACTGGCCTCAAATTCACAGCCATCAGCCTGCCTCTGCCTCCTCAGGACTGGGATATAAGGGGTGTGCCACCATGCCCACCTGGCCCTCAACCTTTTCTTACATAGGATTCACATTAGCAGTTATACAAACAGTACTGGAAATAGAAAATAACAGTGATGTTTGTGTCAGGCTAGAAAAATCTACACATTTACCCTACCAAAGATGTGACTGAAGCAAACGCGCAGCATATTTCAAACATATTTTTCTCCACAAGATACTGTCACAGTTTAGCAGGATATATTCTAAAACCTGTGCCATAGGCAACTTTGTTATTGTGTAAACATAGAGTAGGTGGCTGCATTACTGACCTTGTCATGTGTGCAGTCCTTTGTTGACTGAAACAAGTGGCTGTGTGAAGGAGAAAAATACAGCGGAGAAGAGGCAACCCTGCCGAGTGGACGTTTAGTATCAGTGTTAAGGTGGTGCCTCTTTCCTTGTTTTGTGGTTTTGATTTTGCTTAATGACAGGGTCTCTCTGGTAGCAATTGCCCCCCACCCAAGGGTTTCTCTGTGTAGCCCTGGCTGTCCTAAAACTCGATTTATAGCCCCGGCTGACCTCAAACTCAGAGATCCAACTGCCTCTGCCTTCCAAGTGATTTGATTAAAGGGTCTCACCACCAATACCCTGTGGTAGCAAGTTTTAATCCTCCTGCCTCAGTCTCCTGAGTTGCTGAGGTTATAGCTAGGTATTTGCCACCATGTCAGATTTATCATCTACTTTTTGATACAATAGATGAGCCGGGTAGTGGTGGTACATGCCTGTAATCCCAGCATTCCAGGAGGTACAGGAATTCAACTCTAGCCTGGTCTACAGAACAGAACCATGTGAAAAAACAAAACGAAATCACCAAGCAGTGGTGGCGTGTGCCTTTAATCCCAGTAGTACTCACAGGCAATCGGATTTCTGTGAATTCAAGGTCAGCCAATGCTACACAGAGAAACCTTGTCTTAAAAAAGAGCCCAAATAAACAAGATCATGAAAGACAGAGATTGAAGATTCAGGAAACATGTCAACTAAATGACTCCTGCGTAGAAATAGAACTTACCAAAAAGTCCTATCTCTAAATTAAGCAGTGGCCTTCATTTTCTAGCGTTTCAGTCTGCTTTCCGAGCCCGGGGACCCCTGGCTATGCTGGAACACTTTGATACAGTCTACAGTATTTTACAGTAAGTGAGATGCACCACTGGGGCTCCTGGAAGAACTACTGACTATTTCAGTGATGCTATTTAGTTATTGACTGACTGACTGACTTGCATGGTCGTTTTGAAATTCCAAATTATAGGTTCACTGATAATTGGTTCTGGGTGCTGGCATCCATAGTGTGCATTTATCCAGCTTCCACTGTCTTTATTCGGCAATTTCAGGAGTATTTTCACATGTTCGATTCCTTAGATCTGATCTATGAGAAATGGGCTCTGCAGGCTCCTGTCTCACTCCCACACTTTCTTTCCCTCATAGTCACTTTCGAAGTATAGACCCTGGCCTCAAGGAAGACACCCTGGAATTCCTGATAAAAGGTGTCTATGGGCCTGGGGGTAGGGGCTGGAAGGTGTTTGTTATGTTTAACATTCCCTACGTTTTCTCAGCCATGTGATGATATCAAGGCTGTTGTGATTCAGTTGGTTTGGCTAAGTCCAGGGACCTCTGACCTATTCAGGTCTGTAATCTTGGTGGTCGATACAGAGTAATGTGCGTTCACTGTAAGGGCGGACCAACAAAAGTTTCCCTACTTCTGAACCACCTCGCTCCAGTAGGGGTGATTCTCCAGGTGCCAGGGAAGACTTGTGGTAACTGGACTGAAAGTAGGAACAGGCTATGTTCAAGATACAAGGGTCAGGGGTCCCAAAGGACTTAGCTATGTCATGGCCACTGAGAGATGACACACAGATCTTTGGTAATCTGATGGCTACAAGTGCTAAGTGTTTAGTAGTTGGGGTGCATGAAGAAAGTCAATGAGACCAACTCCCAGATTCTGCTCCTCACAGTGGTATCCTGCCACTCCCAGGAACTTCCATCCATCCTGGATGATGCAACCCTGAGTGTATCAGATAGAAGTGCCCATCTCAATGCCCTCAAGATGAACTGCTATGCCCTCATACGCCTCTTGGAGTCCTTTGAGAATATGACCAGTCGGACAGGCCTCATCGACCTGGACGTGGGTGGGAAGGTAAGTGGGAATTCCTGGCCTATTTATACCCGGGGTAAGAGAATTGATGGGAAGGAAACAGTGATTCTGGGATGCTTACTGTTGTTGCTTGGAGTTTAGGAGGGAGTCCCCAAGTACTCCTTCCCTGACAGTTCTTGTGCATTCTAGAACCTGCAACCCTCTATGGAACTGCTTAGCCTTGCCTTGATAATGTATAGTGTGGGCCCACAGGCTAGATCATCTGTACTCTCTGATCCCTGTCCCCGAATGTCTGTATGATCACTTTAGGGTAAGAAGGCCCGAGCCAAGGCAGCCCATGGCTTTGACTGGGAGGAAGAAAGGCAGCCGGTTCTTCAGCTTTTAACACAGCTACTCCAGCTGGACATTCGTCACCTATGGAACCACTCAGTAATTGAAGAAGAATTTGTCAGGTTGGTAGTAATGGTGGCTGCAAATGATCTTGAGCTCTGTTGCTAAGACTTTTTTGTTTTGTTGTTTTTTTTGTTTGTTTGTTTGTTTTGTTTTTTTGTTTTATTATTTTTGTGAAATGGTGTCTCATTGTGCATCCCTGTCTGGCCTGGAAGTCTATGTAGACCAAATGGGTTTGAACTCACAGAGGGTCATCTGCTTTTGCCTCCAAAAGTACTGGAATTAAAGGCACATGCCACCACAATGAACTCCTCATTGTGAGTACCTGTATTTATGGAAATGCATTTACTAAGAATCCCCTAGGTGTGTGGTGGGCATCATTATAGACACGTTATATTTTAGAATAGAAGGCAATTTTGGGTGGTTGTGCTTTTAGGTGGGAGTTGTTTTTTTAGGCTGGTCTTGCTATGTAGCCCAGCTGGTGTTGAACTCACTATTATAGTTCAGGCTAGCCTAGAATTCATAAAATTGCCTCAAACTTCCCAAATGCTGGAGCTACCACTCCTTGATGACAGTGTTTAAATAAGGAAAATACATAGTATGTATTATGATATGTTAGTTTGGAGCACAATGGAGGAAGGGGCTAGGAAATTTGCTAGGGAAGGGTTGTGATTTTAAGTTAGCTGTTCCAGCAGGACCTCTCTGAGATGGAGACATTTAGCCAAGATCCAGAGGAAGTTAATGAGAGATGTGCAGATAGTTCAAGGAATGGCAAGAGTAAGGAAAGGGAAGAGCAAGTCCAGAGACCCAAGGAGAGCATACCGGCAGGCACAGTGTAGCCAGTCATCTTTGGACCACCAGCTCCCAATTATGAGAGCTTGGCCTTAGTTTCGGCTTGTTCCCAACTAGCTCTTACAACTTAAATTAACCCGTCTGTGTTAATCTGTATTCTGCCACATGGCTCGCTATCTCTCCTCAGTATCGCAGGTTCCACTTCCGCTTCCTGTCTGTCTGGTGAATCTGTAGCAGACAGTAGTAGTGAGGTCTGGGTGGCAGCTGAGAGAAGGTGAGGGTGGGCTAGCGGGTCAGGCCACATTGCAGGGCCTGGCTTTGATCTATGCTCAGTGCCCATTGGGAGCATTCACAAGCACAGCAGTGAGATCATGTGACTTACTGTCCCGGAGTCCTCCCGGTTGTGGGATAGAAATAGACCGTAGGAAGAGCAGAGGAAAGAGACCAATCACCAGTTCAGTAATACGGGCACGGCAAGACCACGGAGTGGCGCAGGGGATGGGGAGTAGTTGGATTCTTTTTCTTATGGTGTTGCAGGATCTGCTGACAGATTGGTTATGAAATATGAGGGAAGTACAGTCGAGGGTGACTGTCCCAGGGTTGTGGCCAGAGCATTTGGCAAAAAGGAGCTGCTGATAATGGAGGTGTGGGGAGGTTGCTGGTATTTGGCAGGGAAGATCAGAAGTTCTGCTTTGGGCAGGGAGTTTGAGGTGCTTGTTAGACATCTGAGTAATGTTAGAGTCAACTGTGGAAAGGAAATGAAGTGTGTGTTTGAGGGAGAAAGTGACTAGGCATGGTGGTGCATGCCTGTATACCAGAACTTGAGAGGCTGAAGCAGGTTTGCCAGGAGTTTAAGGCCAGTTTGGCCATACTGTGAGCAGCCAATGCTATGTAGTAAGACTTTGTTTCAAAACATAAGTAGCCAGGCCTAGTGGCACACACTTGTAAGCCCAGCACTCAGGAAGCAGAGTTGGGTGTCTGTGAGTTCGAGGGCAGCCTGGTTGACATAGAGACTTACTCGTCATCCTGAGGCCTGTCTCCAAATAGATAATGGCCAGGGAGAGGTTCAGTCAGTAAAGCTCTTACCACACACTCATTGAGGACATAACATTTGATCTTCAACACCCACGTCAAAAGCCAAACATGGCACAGTGTTGGGGAGGTGAAGACAAGCAGGTAGATCTCGGGGACTTCTGAGCAGCCAGCCTAGGCTGTTCACTGACAGGCCCTGTCTCAAAAACCAAGGCCAGTGCTAAAACCAAAGTAAAAGTAATCCATCAGTTAGTTACAGCAGATGTAAAAGACGCCTTCAGTAACTTTGCCCTCCCGTCTTGATCATATATTCTGGTTTCTTGTTGTCATGGTAACTAGGTGAAATTTGCTAATCCGAAAGTAAAAATCCCCTCGCTCCCCCAAGTTTAGCATTCTTAAAGCAATTCCACCTTGATGTGGAAGGGTTAGACTGAAAGAGCGGCACTCTAGAAACCCTGATTGTGGACACAGTAGCGACAGAACAGTTAAGGGAGCTGCCAGGGACTTGACTCCAGAGAGCTGATTTCTTTCCGCCCTTCCTTTCTTAGTTTGGTTACTGGCTGTGGCTACCGCCTTTTGGAGAATCCCACCATCGGTCACCAGAAGAACCGCCCCGCCAGGGACGCCATAGCACACCTGCTTGGGGTGGCCCTGGTCCGTTATAATCATATGCTCAGTAAGTCGCCTTCCGCCTTGCTCCTGCCCCCTGCTTTGCCGTCTCTCCCTGAATGTCTCACAGTGGTGCTTCCCAGGTGCGACTGTGAAGATTATCCAGATGCTGCAGCACTTTGAGCACCTGCCGTCCGTGCTAGTGGCAGCTGTGAGTCTCTGGGCAACAGACTATGGGGTGAAGAGCATCGTGGGAGAGATCGTCAGGTGACTCCTCCTCCTCAGAGACCCTTTCTCCATGTGACGTTGGCTTCCTTCGTGTGTTAGCTGCTGCCTGTCTTGGCTTCCCTTGTTGGGAACTCAACAGTTAAGCTTCCTTGCCATCTCTGTGTTCTCTTCCCTCTGTAGAGAGATCGGGCAGAAGTGTCCACAGGAGCTGAGTCGAGACACAGCTGGGGCAAAGGGCTTTGCAGCCTTCCTCACTGAGCTAGCAGAGCAAATCCCAGCTGTCCTTATGTCCAGCATGTGCATTTTGCTAGATCATCTGGACGGAGAGGTGGGTAGTCCAGGGCCTCTCAGATATCTGGGGTTTTAAGCCCATTATTGAAAACTCTCTCTCACTAATGTGGTTCTGGGTAACAACCCAAAGACTTAATACATACTAATAAGCACATGGTCTAAAAGTTGAAAATTTTGTTTCCTTTACATTTATTTTATAATTTATAGTGTATGAGCATTTCGCCTGCATATAAGCTCGTGCCGAGGAAAAGGGCAGGCACTGACACTTAAGGTTGTTCCTTGAGTCTGCATATGTCCATATAAACACGCACACATCAAACATGCACACAACAGAAGAAGGAAAAGGCTTGCTGTGGAGCCTAAGCCAGCTCCCAAGTTCCAGAATTAGATGTGTGGTAGCATGCCTAGCCAAGGTTCATAATCATTTTATATCTCTCCCTCCCCTTACCCCTTGCAGTGTCTTGCACAGCCTAGGCTTGCCTCAAACTTGTGTTTAGCCAAGGCTGGCCGTGAATTCGTACCTCTACTTTCCAAGCGCTGGAATTACACACTTGTGTGCCCACACCTGGCTTCAAGGTTGTTTCTTGAGAAAGGAAGTAGCTTTTAGTTAGTATGGAAATGTCCACCTGGAATCTGAGATCCAGAGGACTTAGAAAAGAGGATCCTAGCCTAGGCTACAAAGGAGAGCTGTTTGCAAGATAGATTTTCACACAAAGAAGATGGGTTGTCTAGCTGACATTTTCTACAGGGAAGCACATAAGGAGCCCTCTTGTTTTTACATCACTTGGTTCTTTGCAGTTGTAGTAGAGGAGATGACCGTGCTGCACCTGTCTAGTGAGAGGGGCTCAGCTTTGGTTCTCATCCCATCCAGTCCTTGGACTCAAGCCCCCAGATGCTCCCATCTGACTAGCATCACTTTCTACAAAAGTGAGCTTTCTCAACCAACCTGTGCTGTTCCTCTCAATTCTCTTTCCTGGACGCTTCTCTGGCCTCTTCCCAGACCAGTGTTGGGTTCCCAGGGAAATGTCGAAGACATTGATCTAATTTTCCTTAACTTCTTGTGTGAGACTGTTCTTTGGCTCTTGGCCTAGGGAGTAGAATCCCTTGCCCTGTTCTCTACTAGATTACATAACAGACTTCTTGGCACTGAGGCTGGTCTGTTCTTCTCTGTTCCGAAGAGTAGGAAGGAAAGCAAATGCTTATTCATAAGGTTTTATTGTAACAAGTCTTTCCCAAATAATGACATGGAAACTTCTTATTAGTTATGAAAATTTGGCCTTAGCTTAGGCTTGTTTCCAACTGGCTCTTATAACTTAAATTAACCCATAATTTTTAATCTATGCTCCTTCATACTGCCCGTTCTTGTTTCCAATTTTTTCACATGTTTTGTTTCCTCCTCCCAGTTCCTCTCTCTGTCCATAAGCCCTGCCTTTCCTCTCCT